TTTTAGACTAGAATTTGTGTGCACAAGTTTTGTTTGTTTGTTTTGTTTTGTTTGTTTGTTTGTTTTGTTTTGTTTTGTTTTTAGTTTTTGACAGGCAGAGTGGACAGTGAGAGAGACAGAGAGAAAGGTCTTCCTTTTGCCGTTGGTTCACCCTCCAGTGGCCGCCGGGGCTGGCGCACTGTGGCCGGCGCACCGCGCTGATCCGATGGCAGGAGCCAGGTACTTATCCTGGTCTCCCATGGGGTGTAGGACCCAAGCACTTGGGCCATCCTCCATGGCACTCCCTGGCCACAGCAGAGAGCTGGCCTGGAAGAGGGGCAACCGGGACAGAATCCGGCGCCCCAACCAGGACTAGAACCCGGTGTGCCGGCGCCACAAGGCAGAGGATTAGCCTAGTGAGCTGTGGCGCCGGCCGTGCACAAGTTTTAAAACATTGATGATGTGCAGATTTAAGTAATTCTTATGAATCAGAATCTATTGACATGCGGCTCTCATTCTGAAGCCCCCTCCCCCCCAATGCAGTGACCAACACCTACTTTGCTTCAGAGTCTCCTGCGCCTCTTACTGAGTTGGGACAACACTTACACTTCCACCCCCCCCACCCCCCCAACCCCCCCCCCCCCGCGCGCCATGGACACTTCACCATTCATTCAGGACAAACTTCAGGAAGATTTTATAGCTCAGGAGTTTGTGCGAGTAGAATTCGCTCTGCTGACAGCACCAGCTTGTCAACCTGAGCCCACAGATGTGGCCACAGTCGCCACCAGGCAGGTGGATTTCCATGGCTACTGGGAGAGAGAGGCCGAGGGCAACACAGCTTGCAGAGGGGCCAGCGATGACGCCCAGGTCCTGACAAGGAGGGGCGGGGAGCCTGTTCAAATTTCGCACCTGTAGCATGGGGGGTTATGCCTCGTTACCCTGGTGCAAGGGTGAAGTTGCTACTGGGTTCTTCCCCTGCCCCCGCTAGTCTGAGGTGAAGGTGATGAATGGGTTGCTGTGCCAACTGTGTAGCTCACAGATCAGCAACCCAGACCGTTGATGGGTAGTTCTACGACTCATTGGGAAGACGGCCAAAGCCAGTTACTCCTCAGGGCGGAGGCTCATTGCCGGCGCCTTCAATCCTCCGTGGCTCCCTCATTGATTGGAGTTTGCCTAGGAGAGCGAGCCTAGAGGTCGGGGAGCCGGGACTGCCAGTGGTGGGAGCAGGGCCAGGGCACAAGTGCCTCCAGTATCAGCTGGCTTAATCCCCCTGCTGTTACACAAGGCCTTGAAATGAAATAGGGGAAGCCCCTGCCTGTTAGCAGAATCCGTAGTTCCCAGCTTCTGGTAGGAGTCGTCTGGTGCTGTACTCCTTCCACCCTCTCTTACTTATTGAAGAATTTGTATATTGAATACACATCCACACGCAAGCCTCATTTGCTCAGTGTGAGTCAGTTAAATTTAAATTTCAAGATGAAAAAATTCACATTAGTGCTTAATTAGGATTTTTTTTTACCTTGAATACAATAGGACCACGCCTGGATACAATTTCATTGAAGCACTGGGCTGTTAATAAGGAGAGCCCTTTGCAGCTAGCAAGTGTAAGATGATCCATGCATGTGCATAACTGGAAAATCAGGTGCAAGCAAAATATTTTGTGACATGATGCATTTGTGCAGTTTGCTCTCCTTCAACTTCATGCTGATGCATAATTAACAGCAAGATGTATTCATGTACTGCCGACTTACCCAGTGCCTGTGACACCCAATGACACTGCTCTGCTGGAATGCAGATGGCTGATGCTAGGGAGGAAGCCTCAGCTCCAGGGACAAAGGAGAGAGGAAGGTGCTCCCTCCAGAGAGTCGCGCAAGTCCCTTGCAGTCACTGCTCTTGCACTGCATGGCAAGAGAGGAGGTTGGAGGAAGAGAATCTGAGCTGATGCCCTTTAAAAAATATCCCCACCCCCAGGCTGGTACTGTGGCTTAGCCTGTTAAGCCGCCACCTGCAGTGCCAGCATCCGCATGGGTGCAGATTCAAGTCCCAGCTGCTCCACTTCCGATCCAGCTCTCTGCTACAGCCTGGGAAAGTAGTGGAAGATAGCCCGAGTCCTTGGGCCCCTGCACCACATGGGGAACCTGGGGGAAGCTCCTGGCTCCTGTCTTCAGATTGGTCCAGCTCATATTGTTGTGGTCATTTGGGGAGTGAACCAGTGGATGGAAGACCACCACCCCCCCTGCCTCTGTCTCTTTGTAACTCTGCCTTTCAAATAAATAAATAAATTTTAAAAAATTTACCCCTCCATTTCATTCCAAGAGCTTCAGAATTACAGAAGGAAATGTGAAAGTGATGGACAGCACAGTCCACACTCAGTCTCCTTTCTTTTCTAACACACTCAATGAGATGTGATTGACATACCAGAATACTCACCCCCAGGAAGTGCATCACTTGGTGATTTTGGGGGTATTTGGAGCCAGGACAATTTCTAGAACATTTTCAGCACCCGGGAAAGACACTCACTGCCTCATGCCAGATGCCAGAGCCCTGAACAACCACGGATAGACCATCTCTCTCCCCCCCAACCAGATGTGCCCATTCTGGATGCTTCCTAGCAGTGGACTCACACAGCACATGGTTCTTGGTGACTGGGTGCTATCATGTAGCCCAAAATCCTCCAGGCCCAGCCAGGTGCAGCATTCCTTCCTGTCTGCTGGTTACCTTCTCTGGTTCAAAGACCCCATGTTTGGTTTAACCATGCATCTGTGGGTGGGCACCAAAGATCCCGTGTTTGGTCTAGCCATGCATCCATGGGCGGGCACTGTGTTAGTACTGCAACCGTGGTCACCACACCTCGATGCACAGCAGCCATGAGCAGGATTCCACCAGTTTCTCTGTGAGCATCTGTTTTCATTTCCCTTGCATTCATGCCTGGGAATAGGACGTGAGCCCTTAGGGGTGTCTGTAACCTCACAGTCTCACTCGGATCTCTCCAGCCTCCTCCATGTGAGGAGGCTTCTCCAATGTGAGGAGCTTGGCCTCAAGGTCCAGCATTCATCTTAACTGTCCTCTTCCATGTGGCACCTGAGCAAATGCAAACAGCAGCACCCACATGCTGATAAAATTGGACAGTCCCTTATTACCAGCAGTGGAGAGCAGGCTCACGCCCTAAAGAATTCTCAACCCTGAAGCCCAAAATGACAGGATTTATAAAGGCAAAAACCACAAAAACAGGAGAGGGAATACATGGTTACTGGGGTCAAGCTAACTTAAGGCCCATGTGAAACTAATATCAATTATAATCTTGACAATACAAATTATAATCTTAATTCCAATTATAATCTTGACATTACTACTGATATTGGTCTAAATCACATGTGGGACATAGACAAATTACAATCTTATTAACCCAGGTGCAGCCTGCCTGTTTTTAAGCTAGAGAGTTTCTATGTTTTGCCAAGCAGGATGAGGTGAACTACTACTGTCTTAGTTTTAGACTGTGATCTCAACGTGGGGGGGGGGGGTGCCTTCTCAAGATGGATTCTTGGAGGCTCTAAAATGGAGTTGCTCTTGTTGGATCATCCCTTCAGTATCAGAGCAGCTAACATGAACCCCATGGGAAGCAACTGCATCAGTGTCCCACTGACATCCAAAGCCGGTGGGGCAACAACGTGCTCCCCATGGTCCCTCCCTTCCCTGCACACATCCACATTTGTTCTTTGCTTTTGGCCTTTTGTTGACTATTCTGTATCTTTTCACTTTCCTTCTAGACTTCAGAGTAACAAAATTACTTGTGGGAATTTTTTTATCAGTATTGCATTGATGTTATAGATCAACTTAGGAGAAACAGATGCATTCATCACATTGAACCTTCCAATCCATGAACATGGGCTATCTCTCCTTTTACTTAGATGTTATTTTATTTTCTGCATTGTTTTCTTGTTTCTAATTTCATTGATTCATGCTATAATTATTCTTATTACTTTCTTCCTCTTGCCCTAGGTCTCACTGTTGGTCTTTTTCTAGTTTCCTAGAGTTGAAATTTATATGAACTTAAAATTTTCATCTTTCTAAAACACAAATTTCATGCCACAAATTTATTCTCAAGAATTCTTTCACTTTCTCCCAAACACATTTTATAAATTTTATTTTTATTCAGTTCAAGTTACTTTTAATTAGTAAATCAGTTGAGTCTTTTTCTCTAACCTTTATGTATGTATAAATGCAGTACTTAATCTCTAAACAGAAATCTTCTATCTATTATTCCCTAATATTAGCCCCATTGTGAACTGAAGAAACATTTTCATAATTTTTCTTTATACTAAATTTAATAATGTATGGCCAAAAATGCAAGTGTATTTTGGGGCATGTTGCATGTGAACTGATGAAGGAAGTGTGCTTTGCTGTTGCCATCGGAGTTGTCAATTAGCTCAGGGTGATTGATGACACTGCTCAGCTCCACTGCGGGTTCCCCACTTGCTTGATCCATCAGCTGCTGACTGACGTGTGCTGAAGCAACTGGCTATAATTGCTGACTCCTCTGTTTCTCTTGCACTTCCATCGGTCGTGTTGCTTCCCTCTTATTAGATCTATCCATATTTAGTACTGCAATTTTTTTCTTGGGGGATTAATCCCTTTACCATTTTGCAAATCTTCTCTTTATCCCTAAAAACTTCCTTGCTCAGCTCTCTGCTCGGTCTGAAGCTACAGTGGCCACTCCAGATTTTGTATTTGGTGTCAGCATGGTGTACCGCTTTCTCTCCCTTTCCCTTGAACTTACTGAGTGCTGACGTTTAACATGAATGTCTTGTAGAAAACACATAGTCAGGGCTTGTTTGTTTTTTATTCACGCTGCTGATCTTTTTCTTTTAATTAATGTATTTCAACCATCCACTTTTAATGTGACTACTGACATGATTGTTTACTGATAAGGCTGGTTTGCTGTCTACCACGCTTGCGTGTGTTCTTTTTGATGAAGGTGCTGTTTCTTTCTCTTTTTTTAATTTATTTATTTGAAAGGCAGAGTTACAGAGAAGCAGAGGCAGAGAGAGAGAGAGAGAGAGAGAGAGAGAGAGCAAGAGCTCTTCCATCTGCTGGTTCATTCCTCAAATATCCACAATAACCGGAGCTGCACGGATCCAAAGCCAGGAGCCAGGAGCCAGGAGCTTCTTCCAGGTCTCCCACGCAGGTGCAGGTGCCCAGGCACTTGGGCCATCTTCTACTGCTTTCTCAGGCCATAGCAGAGAGCTGGATCGGAAGAAGAGCAGCCGAGACTCAGACTGGTGCCCATGTGGGATGCTGGCATTGCAGGCAGCGGCTTTACCGGCTATGCCACAGCATTGACCATGAAGGTGCTGTTTTTTTTTTTTTACATCATTTCCTCTACTCTGTGTCTTTTCTTCTACCTAACTTGAATTGAGAATTCTATATGACTGTATCTCACCTCCTCTCTTAAATGCTATCCATCCACATTTGGGAAAGGTGTTCCTGATTACTCTAAATTTGTGCATTTTTAACTTACCTGTGCTCACCTCCATAATGACTCTACCCCACTACAGGAGTGGTATAAGTGACTTTGCCACAGTAGTCCCAGTTCTTCCCTTCCTTCTCTTGAGACACAGCTATTGTTCACTTCACATATCTGGAGGCTGCAAGGACCCAATGGTTTTGCTACTAATATTCTTTTCTGCTATTTGTTGATCTGAGAGGCAGAGAGGTAGAGAGTAAGCGAGACAGACAGTGCTCCCACCCGATGGCTCCCTTTCTGCATCCCTGCAATAGCCAGAGCTGGGCCATGGCCAACCATGGAGCCAGAACTCCCAATCACTAAGCCGGCACCGTTGCCTCTGGACTGTGCAGGAGCAAGAGGCTGGAGCCAGGGGCTGGAGCTGGGCTCTCCAGTATGGAATGTGGGCATCAAAGCTGGCGTGCCAACTGCCCAGCCACCTCAGTGTGGTTTGAACATGGGTGTCTGTATATGGACTCAAAGTGAGAAGCAGAGAAGGCTCTGTTTCCACTGAGTTCCCAGGGAAGCCCTCCCTTCCTGTGTGGATCCAAGATTTGGATCCAGATCATTTTCCTCCCCAGGCAGAGTCTATTTGCACGTAATGAATTTCCCTGATTTCTGCTTGTCTGAGAGACTGTATTTCCCCTTCATCCCAAAGGATAATTTCACTGGATACAGAATTCTAGATTGGCAAATCTTTCCTGCCAACACCTTAAATACCCCGTTCTACTCTGTTCTCCTTGCATGGTGTCTGACAGAGGTGCCTCACTCTTCTGGTTGTTGATGGTGGTGTTGATTCTACACTTATTTTCTCTTCCCACTTCAGTCTGGGGAGTTTCTGCTCATATACAAGAGTACTAAATGTTCATGGAAAAGGGAATTAACAGATACATTTGTGGCATCAGTGCTGTGGCACAGAAGCTTAGGCCACCGCCTTCAGCTCCAGCATCCCATGTGGGCAGTGGTTAGTGCCCCAGCTGCTCCACTTTCAATCTAGCTCCCTGTTAATGCACCTGGGAAGGCAGAGAAAGTTGCCCAGGTCCATGGGCCCCTGCCACCCACGTGGGAGACCTGGAGGAAGCTCCTGGCTCCTCGCTTCAGCCTGGTCCAGCCCTGGCCATTACAGCCAGTTAGGGAGTGAGCCAGCTGATGGAAAATCTCTTTCTCTCGCTCTCCTTTTCTTTCTCCATATCTCTGCCTTTCAAATAAATACTTTTTTAAAAAAGGTACATTTGTTTTGATGCTAAAGATTGTGAAATCCATTCCAGTTTTCCCCTGTATACATCTCCATAAACTTCCTGAAGACCTCTCATATGCATGGATTTCAATTTCTTTTGCACCAAAATAAGCCTATCTTCTAATTCGTTTTCCATGAACTTTGTGAACTCGGTGTGCATCTTCAGCTCATGGCCTCCTGTCTCACCAGAGGACGTGTGTGTTTCTACTATGGTGTTTTGGAGCCCTATCATTCCCTTTTATTTTCTTTCTGCATTCCCATCCATCTGCTTACCTTGTCCATCGGGTTTTGAGTGTTGTCAGTTTTTTCCGTTAGAGCCCTGAACATATCAATCACAGTAATTTAGAAGTCCCTGTATGATTATTCCAACAGCTGTGTTATCTCTGAGTCGGGCTGGTTAACTACTGCTTTATCAGTGCTTTGGGCACCAGGTTTAGCTTGGCCAACACTTCTCAAAGTGAGGCAAATTAAACATTAGTCCTGTAGACTGATTTACATGGAAAAATAGCTTGGCTATTTCTACCTACTTTCTTATAACAGATCTACACTAAATATTAATATATACAAAACTTATTGAAAGCTGATTATTTTTAGAGATCTACAGTTTTTTAAAAAGTTATTTAAATTAGTAAAAAAAAAAAGAGATTCTTAAACTGGTTTGAGTTCCTAGCCATTTTTGGACAGCTGTTAGCACAACCTGTGTCTTGGATTCCCTAGAATATGCTTTGGTAAACAATGCACAATCTTCAATGTTTCTCCATCTTTTTACCATATTACTGCTCTCTCATGTGTGCAGGGGCTCAAGCACTTGGGTCATCCCCCACTGCCTTCCCAGGTGCACTGGCAGGAAGCGGATTGGAAATGGAGCAGCCAGGACTCAAACCAGTGCCCATATGGGAGGCCAGGGCTGTAGATGGTGGCTTAGCCTGCTCAGCCACAGCGGCAGCCCCACTTTCTGGATTTTACTAAACTGGATGTTTTTGCACATCATGGATTCAATAGATTTTACCCGCTGCTCACTATGGTACTTACTATGTCCCAGAGCACTCAGCCACTCAGTAAGCCTCTTTCTTGTACTTGCTGAGTTTGTTTATTTTTTAAGGCAGGAGGCAGAGTGAAAGCATAGAGCTCCTTTCCCCATTCGGTTCAGGCTCTGGCTCCCAAAGAAAGCAAAGCTCCTTCTTGTTCCCTTCGTCCAGTGCTCCCAAATCCCCATGAGCCAAGGACAGCTCCCGGTGCTCCGGCCTGCAGAGGGGAAGGGGTCCGCAGTGTGATGGGGTCATGGTCTAGCCTCACATTGCCCTTTCCTGGACACCCATGGGTAAGGGATCCTGCTGGTTCCACAACCTTGGCTTCGAACAGGTTGTTCTAAGCCAAGGATTCCCTGACTCACACCATGGGGCCCTCACTCCATGGAATTTGTATGTGCCAGGCAATGTTTCCCCTAAGATAAAATATTCATTGATGCTTTGTGCTTAAGAAAAGTAATCACATGTCCTTATGGAGGGGCTCTGAGTGTCTTTGATGCGCCACTGAGTCATGCTGAGTCATGCCGACGCACGGGTGTGGGGCGTGGGCAGAGTTCGGTAGAGGGTCCTGAGCCTGGTCCTCAGGGAATCTTAGAAACACGAGGTTTCAGGGGAGATGCTTCTATATCTGTGTCTACATCTATGTCTATATCTACATGTGTGTGTGCACATACATAGACATGAAAAATGCCAGCACATTTAGGTAAGACATTTGTAAATGTGCCAATTTTAGAAGCCAAAACCTAAAAAAAGAAAAAAAATCCTCAGGGGAACAATGTCAAAATCCGAATTCTGAAGCTTACAGATGCTTTACATATTATAAAGAATGAGTTTAAAAAGGAAAAATATCAAACCCTCAACCGGAAACAAGCTGAAACAAATGGACCTAATTTTATATCAAAGTATTAACACAATAAAACAGAGAAAAGTTATTGCAATTATCTTTGAAAACAACAACCTGATTCTAAATCCTTGGTGGTCTTACCCCAAGGACAAACAAACTACAAAGAAAGCTGAAAATTTACTCAGCAGTATTATCATTAGCAGCAAATTGCTTATCAGAGACTTGACACTAAGTGTACCTTTTAGGAGAAACCTGCACTAGTGTCAGCAGTGCAAACACATACACACATACAACCAAGAAAGGTAAGATCATTTGAGTATGAAATAGTAATAGAAAGTCATGATTTAAAACACACAAAAGCTCACACATGTGCACACACACGTGATACACAGACACACACGCATCACACACAGACACATATACCTGCATGCACACACAGGCACACGTATATCCCAGCTGCATGCAGTGCCCTTGGGGTGGTGTCTCACTCACCCTGAGACTTTATGGTCCACCTATTTTGCACTCAAAGGAAGCAGTGCTTAAAGACACACAACGGCGTGCCCAAGTCAACCTCGTTGGCTAAATGTGGGAGCATTTGCACCCTAAAAATAAATAAATAAAAATCTCCCCACATCTTTCATTGTGACACATAGAGAATGTTATATTATACACGAGCCCATAATAATATTAAAGCACACGACAAACACACAAACAGACAAAAAGACAGCAAATGCAAAAATGGAGGACCCAACAGAGTCTGGTGGGAAGGAGCTGTCCCTGGGGCCCCTCGGGAAAGGGGAGAGCAGCTCTCAGAGGTGCCGGTTCCATCCTCCTGCCCTGCCTGGAGACCCGGGAGCCTTCACTCCAGCTCATACCCATGGAGGCTGTGGGCACCACACAAGACAGGGCCAGGGCCAGGAGGTCCAGAGCTGCCAGCCCCACCACCCAGGTCTGAATGGGAACACTCTGCTTGCTTTGGGCTCCCTTGCACTGCAGGAGGCTCCTCTCCCAGCCCAGCCCTGCCTCCCCCCTCCCCAGTCAGCACCCTGTACCCCAAACTCTGGCTTAGCACCAGGTGGGAAAAAAATCCAAATTGTGATCAGGAAACAAAGGAAGACAAACTCACTTGCCACCGTTCAGTGTGACAATCGACCAGTTTGTTCCTTGAAAATTGGTCCCTGATGAGAACAGCATTTACTCAGGGCCAATTTGTCCTCGGTTAAGGAGGAAAACAAGTTTTTTCAGAAGAGTAGCAGGAAATAAGTGAGGAGGAAGTGGCAGAATAAGGAAATCACTGCATACAATTTGCAAAGAAAGAACTGACCCAGAAGGAGGGTGCTATCAGAGAAAGCTCGGACCATTAAGGAGACACTCCCTGGGGACTGGATGCACTTGTTCTGAATACATGTGTACACCTGGCTTGCTGATTCCAAGAGGGATGTGTGCATTAACACAGATAAAACTTGAGGCCACCGGCCTACCCGAGTGGTGAACCTTGGCGTCACTACCTGTGGACTTGCCTCTCCTGCAGAGGGTCCCTGGGGGGAAATATGCACTCTGCAGTTCACCACAGCCTCAGACTTCGCTCTGGGTTTGCGGCATCCCAGGAGAAAGGATTCACTTTCTTTCCCAATGGGACATTCTACAGCATGTCTGACACACCATCATCTTACTAAAAGCAGACCAGAACACCAGGAAGGGGCGAGGTGTGACCCCTCCCAACGCACTAGGTGGATGTTGGTTGCCTCCTGAGAGGATGCAAAGCCAGCCCAGATCACGACTCTGGGCCCTGTGGGACCCACATGCCTGCATTCGGTGTGGGGACGCCCAGTGGGTGTAGTTTCCATCCTGGTGGGTGGCTGGGAGGAGAGATTTCCCCACGGAAACTGGCTTGCCTGCTGCATCCATTTTTTCCTTCTTAGGGTAATGGAATCTCGGTTTTCCTTTGCTGAACCATTCATTTCCCATTCGCCACACCTGGGCTTGGGTTAGAGGTAGCCAGGCGCCCCAGAATGGTGCTGGTGGCACCTGGCCACAAGGACCCACAGTGATGGGGAGGGTGCTCACCTGCCTGAGGGAGCCCCAGTGCTTTGTTGGAACAATGTGTTCTCTACGGGAAGCTTAGGGGCCGGCGGACCTCCGGCAGGGAACTTCTAAGCTCATCTCTGCCACTACAAGCAGGGACCTGCCCAGACGGAAGCAGAAGCAGACGCACAGGAACCCAACCATGGAGGGGACAACCTCCTGGATCCACCCAAACCTGCAGGCCCCCGACCCAATCACAGCACTATCCAGAAATACGAACCAGTGCATTTTCCATTGGGCTAAAGCCAGTTTGGACTGCGTTTCTTTTCTTTGCAATTAAGAAAGCACTGAATAAAATAGATGTAGCAGTCAAAACTGTGGACACATTTAGGTGCATATGTGTGGGAATCTTTCGTTTTTAAATTCTGTGGGTAAAGAGCCATGCAGATTTTTATTTTTAAATATTAATTATGAGCCATTTAAAATAAGCATGAAACTACAGAATATAATAGAACGGATTATCTATGTTCTCACCTCTGAACATATATTAATGTTGCATCATGTTTGCTTCAGCATTCTTCGCAGAAGCTTTGCAGGGCTTAAAATGCAAGGTAGGGAGGGTGCATGGTGCCCTCTGTGTTTGGTTCCCCAGGCCCCGAGTGCGTTTCTCCTACATTCTTCCAAGATGAGCAGATTCCAGTGCATATGTTCAGAAATATTCAAATGCACACACTGGGCATGTTTCACAGGAAATGATAGCATCCATAAATACTGACGTATCCGATGCTTTTTTTCCAAATGAAATATATTGGAAATTGTTCCTTATCAGCGTACACAGGGCTGCCTCTTTTCCTCATTGCACAGCCAGCCACAATACAGCCCATGGAAGCAGCCATCATTCACACGTGTATATTTCGTTCAGTATTTTGCTGCCGTGCATAAAACTGTCATTTCACACAGATGCAGGTCTACTCCAGCATACAGTCCTCGGAGTGAAAGGTTTTGTGTGGTTTTGATAGATTTTACTGAATGTCCAACATTGAGGTCACAAATTCAATTCCTGCGCTTTAGGATCAAGAGTCTGTTCTATACACTGGTCAAGTTTGAATCATCTGTGCCAAAGTCTGTGCCAAAGTAACCAGTGAGAAAATGGTGTTTCCATGTAATTATTTACAATTGTATTTCACCCCAAACATCATTTTACACATTTCAAAGCTGCATGTGTTTCATTTTTCATGTATTGACTATATTTTCATGCCCATTTTTCTATTGGACTCACTTTTTTTAATTGGTTAAAACTACACACACACATACTCATACATAGGATCTTTCAAAAGCACATGGTGGAAAATTTGCAGTATTTCAAGTGTTTTTGGCACCAAAACACACTCCCAGGGGCTTGTTTTGGCACGTCTGAGCAGGAAAGATAAGCCATCAGATTGTAAAGAGTTGCTGTGGGTAACGTGAACTCTGCTAACATCGAAGCCAGAATGAATGTCAGATTTATGGGGAAGCTTGGGTGGAAGAACAGTGAAATCACCGCTGCTTTGTGATAAGTTTAGGAGGACAACACTCCAAAGAACTCAGTCATTTCAAGTGGGTAACTCCATTCTGGACAGGAACGGATGGCACTGAAGAAGAAGCCGACCGCTGCAGACGACTCACATCCATTTTCAAGGCAAATGAAAATCGTATTCTTGCCCTGATGGGACAGGACCAGCAATTAACAACAGAAACAACAGCCAATGCCACAGACACCTAAGAGCTCAGCTTTCACAGTTCTAGCTGGAAAACTAAATTGGACCAAACTTTCTGCTCCAAGGGCACCCACACCAGCTGCAGACAGGAACAGAGCTTGCAATGGCGATTGCAAACAAGTGCGATCGAGATCACAAAGCATTTCCTGAGAGGATTTAACAGGCGTTGAAATACGACTTTGTTGCTATGATTCTGAACACAAAGCACAATCAGGACAATGGTGACTAAAGCTGAAAGTGGCCTAAAGCAAAAGTGGACGACCCGTCAGGAGCAAAGGCTCGGGCCGGCATTGTGGTACAGCCAGTAAAGACACCACATGCCATGACAGCATCCCAAATGGGCACCAGCTCCAGTCCCAGCTGCTCCACTTTCAGTCCAGCTCCATGCTAACGGCCTGGGAAAGCAGCGGAAGATGGCCCAAGTGGGTGGGCCCCTGTACACGTGTGGGAGATCCAGAGGAAGCTCTTGGTTCCTGGCTTCAAACCAGCTCTGTCCTGGCTGTTGTGGACATCCCAAAAGTGAACCAGCAGATGTAAGATCTCTCTTTCTGTCTCCGTCTCTGTCTCTTTCTCTGTAACTCTGACTTTCAAATAAATAAACAAATCTGTATTTTAAAAAGAGCAAAGATCATGGCAATGGTTTTGAAGATGCTCAGCTTATTAGGATGGTGTTGGGTAAAGTTAGCCAAAGCTTCCCAGGGGGGTCCTTCTCCAACTCGACAATGCACCCGCTCAGCTCTCGCACCAATTAAGAGCAACTCTGGGGCCGGCATTGCGGCAGAGCAGGTAAAGCCTCAGTCTGTAATGCCGGCATCCCTTATGGGCACCAGTTCAAGTCCAGGCTACTCTGTTTCCAGTCCAGCTCCTGCTAATGGCTGGCCCCTGTCACCCACAAGAGATACTTGGAAGAAGCTCCTGGCTCCTGACTTCAGCCTGGCCCAGACTGCCAGTGCTGCCCTCTGGGGAGTGAACCAGCAGGTGGAAGACCTCCCTCTCTCTATCTCTCCCTCTCTCTGTAACTCTGACTTTCAAACAGATAAATGAAAGGAGAACAAGCGATTCTGTAAACATCTTGACGAGAAGTCACTGGCAAGTGCCCAGCAGTCCAGATTTGGCTCCTCCTGACTCCTTTCTGTTTCCTTATCTTAAAAGAAATCAAGAGCACTCATGTTCCTTTAGACTGCAGGGGCTAAATTCCCTGGGCCTCGGTTGTTCAGGGGTGGACTGCATGGCTGAGGCTGTTGCTTACAGAGAGTCTTGAACTTGGTGGAGCCTTTACTGAGGAAAAAGTGTACACTCATTTTTATCTCTTCACTCACATCCCATGGACTTTTTGACGTCTCTTCTGTGTGTGTCTGTGTCCGTGTGTGTGTGTGTCTGTGTGTGTCCATGCGTGTGTCTGTGTGTCTGTGTGTGTCTCTGTGTCTCTGTGTGTCCGTGTGCATCTCTGTGTGTCTATGTGCACGTGTGTGTGTCTGTGCATATATCCGTGTGTGTGTGTGTCTGTGTGTGTCCATGCGTGTGTCTGTGTGTGTCTGTGTGTGTCTCTGTGTCTCTGTGTGTCCGTGTGCATCTCTGTGTGTCTATGTGCACGTGTGTGTGTCTGTGCATATATCCGTGTGTGTGTCTGTGTCTGTGTGTGTCCATGTCTGTGTGTCTGTGTATCTCTGTGTGTCCATGTGTGTGTCTCTGTGTGTCTGTGTGTGTCCATGTGTGTGTCTCTGTGTGTCTGTGTGTGTGTCCATGTGTGTGTGTATCCATGTGTGTTCTCTGTGTGTGTCCATGTGTGTGTATTTCTGTGTGTGTCTGGGTGTGCGTGTGTCCATGTGTGGCCCTGTTCGTGTGTGGCCTTTAGGACATAAAAAGCGAATGTTTTTCCAAGTTTCTCCCTGACCTTTTTATCTTTCACTATGGTGATTTTTATTGTGTAGAATTTAAAAGTTTACTTTATGCACTCAAAGTCCCCGCCTGCTTTTGGACTCCTGTCATCTTCAGAGGGCTGAGATGGGCTGAGATGGGTCAGTGGAGGCCACACTGTTGTGGGCTGTGCGGCTCTCAGCTGGATTCACCGCAGGCTCTTCCCTACACACATGGAAGAACTTAAAGACAGAGGCACAGATGTGCCCTGGAAATCAGGATTCACTCGGAGCAAAACAAAAACGCAAACTCAAGATCCAAGTCGTGTACAGACAAACAGCCAAAGTCGCAAATGTTTGCAAACAAAGAAAACCGCTCTCAAAGGAAAAGCACCCAGCAGTAGGAGGGCCTCCCCTTCCCGTCCCACACAGGCAGTGGGGTGACGGCCACGTGGAGCCCAGTGAAGGCCCGTTGAGCAATTGGCTCAAGCACTGCCCACTTCTGTGCCTCT